GCAGGAAAAACAAAGCCAGGTGTAGTTTAGTGTCATTGATCCTTTTAGAGGAGAAACTGTTCACTTTTACACGGTTTGTATTTATTTTTATTTATACATGCAAAAATGTTTTCTCACACTGAAACCCCAGAGACACAAACTGAAGCATTTACAAAAAATGGAATATGTATATTTTTAGTAATTCATGTGTCTTAAGTACTTTATGAATCAAATGTCATTTTTCTGCTCATTTTACAATGTACAATTCTAAAACCAGTATTTACTGTATATTACATTTTGTCATGTAAAAATTACTGTCAGAAGTATGTTATATAGTGTTTAATTTCATTATGTCAAGATAAGATTCTCTCAACCAGGAGATAAGTTTTAGTTTTAATGTGTTGTGGTGCAGACCTGAGCAACCGCCATTTGATTTGTCCACAGTGTTGTTGTAAACATCTTTCTAATTCCTCATTGAAGGCAATTTAATACCTGTTTCATTATCACACTGCCTGTGTGTGATACTGTTTGAAAGGAGGATGAAAACCTAATAAGACACTAGAGCCAACAGCACAGCCCAAAATCGATGGGCAGATTATCTAATTTAAGTTAAAACATTTATACACAAATACCTTATCAAGCTCACTCAGACTTAAAGAGCCTTTATAATTATAGAAACATTATAGTAGTTAAATAAATACAGTAGCACTGACTTCCTGCTTGCTGGTCTGCTTGCATCTTGGAATAACAAGACCATCAGCATAAAACTGAACAAAGCGAACAGAGCTGAAGTGGACATTATGGTCCCAGAAGTAAGCTGAACTTAATAACTATGGCAGTGGCTTGATGGCTAATTGCTGAAGAATTTGTGAACCTAAAAATGTCCCAAGATATGAACCAGAAAAAGGGATTTGTCTTTAATGTCACTGCATGTAGGAAATAATCAGAATTATGAGCAAAACTGCCTTTTTTGCTGTACCACCTAGTTCAATACCAAACTTTGGAGGTCATCTCCATGCTAACATTAATTTGAGCCGCTTCAGTGATTCAGATTAATTTTACAGATGTCTAAACTCCCCGCCCATGCTGCGAACATCCTCCCCGCGGCTGTGAGAGTATTTTCTAAAGACAATTCCCTCACCTTCCTCACATGGTTAGGAAGAGAACATTCCTCCTGATGAAGCCGTGATAGAAACAGAGTCAGTGTAGCAGCGGTGACACTGAGCAGACCTGGCTCCCACAATGCATCAGCTGTCCTCAAATATCAATTTTGCAGTTGACTTCACACGGCTGGCTCCCCGTCGAGGGCTCCGCTGCCTCGTTCCATCCATTTGTCATTAGTAGATCATCAGTGGGGGCCGACACACACACACACACAAACACACACACACACAACCACACCCACACACACATATATATACATCTGTCAGTTCTCACATGCCCTCAACAATTCAAGCCTGATTTCACAGCAAACAATGAAACAGTGACACAATGTAATCGAGTACATATACAAGTACTCAGTTCGCAGATGACACAACAGTCATCTCTCAACGTCTCATCCGAGATGGTGATGAATCGGCCTACAGACAAGGGTTTAAACAGTTGGCTCTGTGGACCTGGAGCTGAACACACTCAAAACTGAAAATGGCAGTGGACTTTAGGAGGACCCCTGACCCTACCACCCTAACCATGCTCAGCAGCACTGGATCGGCAGTAGAGTCCTTCAGGTAACTGGGCTCCACCGTCTTCCAGGACCTGAAGTGGGTGGCCGACATCAGGACCATTACCATGAAGGCACGGCAGAGGATGTACTTCCTGCACCTGCTCAGGAAGTTCGACCTGCCCCAGGAGCTGCTGATACAGTTCTACAGAGGACATAGAACTGTTTGACCTCCTCCCCTCTGGACGGTGTTACAGGTCACTGTACACCAAAATGACCCAAACTAACCCCACGCCATCACTGTTCTAAACAGCTAATCCATGTCTGTCTGTATAACATAACAGATTATTTGTGTTGTTCTATTTTGTCTTTTTATTGTGTGTTGGTTACGACATCTGGAATCTGTAGTGAGAAGCAGCAGCACAAGAAGACTGAGAGCTGCCTTCATGACAGTGCGGAGGCACTCAAGTCTTAAACCTTTCTCCTTATTACTTTTCCTCACATGATTTGACCACACCATTACTAGAGCCACTGGCTACTGTAACACATTACCAGATAATCACTGTCCGTGCACAGACAGGACTCAGTGCCTATA